TTTGTTGCCCATCGTTTGTGAATCCATTTCATGAGATTATTTTCAAATTCTAACTTAGGACATTTGGACTTTGCTTTGCTGGTATTTTCTGGTTCTCTTGGGCCAAAAGATTGGAAATGGAGAGGGGGGGAGAGCCAGAATGTGTGAACCGAAAAAGGATCCTCTGAGTCATGATTTGAAGGATCAGAATATGATCCTTCTATTGTCTCTTTTTTTATGGTTCCTGTTCCAATTCATCAAGATGAATCAGGTTGGGTTGACACATAAAAAGCGGAAGGACCATCACCACCCCATGACTCATAACTCAAGAAAAGACGTATACAAAAGATTTTGTTGGAAAAAATGGAGCTGGGATCAGTGTGTTTCTCTTCAAGCTTAGAATGATGATTGAACCCTTGGAGTGCTGGAACGCTGGTTTTGACTTCTTTTATTTTCCTTTTTTTTTTGTGTCAATTTTTGCATCCTGCTATTTCCCATCATGCTCAGCTTTCTTGACAGCAGAGGCACTGGGTAAGTTTCACCCTGCACTCTCCCTGGTGGCTGGTTGGGGTCATTCTGGCGGTGGTCACTTTATGGTACTAGTGCAGTGATAGTGAGCCTTCTGGGCTCGGCGGGTAAGAAACACACACGCACATCCAAACACGCAAACACACAAACCGAACAAATGAGAAACAGTTTTCTATCTATCCCCCCACCATCCTGGCCATGCTGAACAGCAGTGCCAAGGCTGGACCTGAAGTGGAGTCACCACTGCCCTGGTGCCACTCAAAAAGACTGCCTCACGCTGTTCCCCAGGATCTGTCACCTGCCACTTACATTCAGGCCGTGTTCTCTTTCTCTTGACAAGGCCCCCTGTGGCACACCTGAGGCTGCTCCAGGTTGCACGAGGCCTTTTCCTTTAAGCAGCTTCAGAGAATGCTCTTCTGTGACCTCTCCCCAAAACTGCATGAAAGCATGCCCCATTCTTACACAATTTTTGGAGGCTCCAGAGGCACACATGAGACCACAGCCCTTTCATGCAACTCTCAGCAGATCTGGAGGTTGCGCAAGAGCACACCTCATTCTCAAGCAACCTCCATACCGTCCCAAAATCACACGAGAACGGGATGTGTTTTTCAGAATAGTTGTCAGGTGAATGCTGGTGTGTCACCCAAAACAACGGTGCTGCTTAACAACAGAAATTCTCTTCTCAATTGTGATGGTAAATCAAGGACTATTTGTAATGGGTTCGTGAGCATATATGTCCCACAAACAGTATGCAGTTTATCCGTTTCTTCTAGAACAAATATTTGCATCAAATTAGATTATGAGTCAGGTTATTTGTAATGGGTTTGTGATCATATATGTCCCACAAACAGTATGCAGTTTATCCGTTTCTTCTAGAACAAATATATGCATCAAATTAGATTATGAGTCAGGCATTCTTATCTGTTGCCCCTGAATTGGTCTGACATATCTCTCCTCTTCCTTCTGTTGGCATTCTGAATGGCTTCTCTCAGAGGTAATGGAGAAGTAATGGATACGTATAAGTGATTTGGTATACGTGCAAAGTAAGTGGTATAGATATATGCTGTATCCTAACCTTAGCCTATGCAAGGAGATCCATTAAATTCTGGGAATATGCTGCATATTGATAAAACAAAAACTTACTTGTGAAATTTGACAAGGAGAACTTTGACTGAGCCAGCCACATATATAGATGGAAAGCTAGGATTTTTGCTTCCAACAACTATTGCAAGTCTCCCTCATCCTTAGGTAATTGATAACACTGATATTAAATACCGTAAGAACCTGCAATTGATGGCTTCTTAAATTCCATCCTGATAGTAGGAAATTGATTGAACCACAGATTTGAAACTCCTGTACATCTAAGCTCTTAGTTACCTACATTCATATGGCATCTCGCAGGATTTAACAGGAGACTTAAGGCTTTGGCTCTGAATTAATAATTTTAGGTATATATCTCCAACATGCACAGTTGCACTTGAATAGCCAGATAACTCTAGTCCAAGCTCAGTTTAGTTGTTCGTTTCTTTGAAATTCAGCTAACAATTGATGTAACTTTGGTGGATCTTAAAAATTGCAAGTAACCTTCAGTAGAGATTGAATAGGTCTGCAGGAAATGGCATTCCCATCATCAGTGATTCCTTGAACAATTGTGGTTCCAGCTTTTGTTCTGAAAGTTAGTGGTAGCTGAGTGACTTTGAGCCCCATGACCTAGGAAAACCATTCCTTGACGGGAAACTGAGACATGATTGGTGATTAATTCAGCCTATCAAAAGGACTCTTATTCTAATGTGTAATCAAGCTTGTTCTTGGTTGGTGGCTTTCATGGTGGAAATCAAGGCTTTAACAGTTGCTACCTGTCCCTTCAGCTTCTTGAATTAATTATGCTTCTTGATAGAGTGTGATGATTTAAGATACAAAAACAGTAATATTTGGAAGAGCCAGGAGGGAGAAAAGAATTGTCGGTATAAAGGAAGTGAAATTACACATGTAGATTCAGAGATTATATTCCTATAACAAGCTTCAAATATTTATGGAATAAGCCCATTTCCAAGATTTGCACAATGTGCTATTTAAATTAACCTAGTTTCTTGAGTGAGTTTACATATTAAATCTCTAAAAGTCATAACCAAAATTAACTCCAATCAAGCTTAGCTTGTTGTGCAAATTTAATTACTGAGTGTTTATTTGACCTGGTTAAATAAACAGACACAGGATATCTGGGTTTCAGAATATTAATCCTTGTAATCCTTCATTTCTTGGAACTATATTTTTTATCCATATTATTCTACAGCTGAAACCTCATGGAACATTTTTGTTTAGCCCCATGCAAAACATGCTGCATTTTTAATCCACAGACTCAACCTCACACTAAGCCTTCTGAACCATCTCACAACTTCAGTTTGTCTTCTTTTGCAGTGCCCTCCACATCTCATAACATCTTTGATTGGGCTAATACCTTTGCCTTCCATTGTTTAGCTAGGATTTAGATACAGTATTAACAAATATAATCTGGAAATTAAATATAAACTCCATAAGATGTTATTAGCATATTAGAATAATATAATATGTCATTCTAATACTATTAAATAATGCTGAAAGGGTATTTGATAGGAGATAAACACTATTCATACATTACAGATAAAATATTTGCTTTCTTTGAAATGTTGCAGCTTAAACTGTTTATTGAAATTTGTTTTTCTTGTTAAGATTCTTTTCCTCTTTGTCAAAAATCTGCAATAAGTCAGGACACAGGTGGATAAGCACACACTTGTAGCACACACCAACCTTTACTGTGTTTTTCAAATTTTGCTTCTAAAGTGCCAGTGACTTAAATTGGGGAGGTGGCTAGCATCTGTTTTTTAGAATGTGTATGGCCTCTGTCTTATCTCTGGAAAGACCATAACTCCTTTCAGAGTTGTTGCATAACCTTCATATAGGTCAGTCTGCAAATGTCCTACTTTAAAAGAATTGTTCTTCCATCAATCTCTGCATTTTGTCCCTGAGCTTCTGGATAAGAATCTCTAGGTCAATGGTTCTCAAACTTGGCAACTTTAAGATGTTGGACTTCAACGCACAGAATTTCCCAGCCAGCAAAAGTCCACAAATCTTAAAAGTTAACAAGTTTGAGAAACCCTGCTTTAGGGTATATGGTTACATACCCTGATTGTATAAATGCTTTGTGTGCAGAATATAGCAAATTAATTTTGCAGCATTTCTACTTAAGGAGAAAAAAAAGGCACAAGTAATGGGGGAAAAAAACCTTTATTAGAAAACCTGGGAAGACAGTGTAGGTCAAAATAAAAAGCATTTCTAGGAAAGAAGGATAAAGTAGAACACAGCTTGCCATATTAAACAAAACATTTTGCCTTGCCTTCTTGGACTCAGCATTGCTCTGTATCAAATTCATAATACACCACAAAACAACCTGCAGTCTCTCTCATGGCTATGTATTGCAGAAGACAATTCCTATTGTCCGTCTTCGTAAGAACATAAAATCTGATGTGCTGAATCAAATCAAAAGCCTATCCAGAAGACATATTGCATCCTAGCGTTTCTGTGTCTGCTTGGGAGCTTTTCATAAGCACCAACTGCTGGAATTGTTCTCTATTAAGTAGTATTGATGGTCCTAGTCTTCAAACTTGGCCCTTTTATGACTTGTGGACTTCAAGGCACGCTGGCTGAGGAATTCTGGGAGTTGAAGTCCACAAGTCATAAAAGGGCCAAGTTTGAAGACCCCTGCCCTAGGGCCTTGATCCCAAAGGAAGCATGTAACCTTCATGACTGGTCACTAATGTTAGTTGTCTTTCAATTCCATCTTAAAGTTACCTAAATTGGCTAACTTAAGAATGTGCTGTCTTTGACCTGTCTTACATAAAGCGCGCTGCTGTCTTTAATACCAATGCTGTTCAGCTTTATTGAGTCACTCTCATTTCTAAAATTAATAAAGAAGGAAAGTAAAACTTTTGTATCCAATTTATTGTACCCTAATCTTTTCATTTAAGAAAGCTCTAAACGGCTACTCCACAACAAGGCTCCCCTGAATTGAGTCGGAAAACCACCATCAAAGTCAAAATAGATAAACTATTTATCATTTGATTGGGAGCTAAGCAAAGTTGGTTGGATGATTGGCAGCTATATAAATGTTATAAACAAACATATAAATAAATTCTGCTTTTGATTGCTGCCTGAAAGGCAAATTTTAACCTTTTAAAACATCTACATATCATTTGAATACAAATACAAGAATGCTTTGTGTATACAGTTGCATTAGAGTCCTGCTTTAAGTTAAAGGTGAAATACATTGCTGTTGATTTAGACAAGGTTACGTTGGTTGATTTTGGTGTGACAGCCAACCATTTGATATGTACACACGTACGTTGCCATTGTTGTGAGTTTGGCTGCTTGGAAGAAAATGGTCCAAATATTTACAGCCTAGATTGACAATTGTTTGGCATTGAAACAACTTTTTGTTTTTCCTCTGTTATGAATAGGTAGAGGAGACATCCAACCCCAGCTGGACAGTGCGCTGCAGGATGTGAACGATAAATATCTTCTTCTTGAAGAAACAGAGAAACAGGCTGTTAGAAAAGCACTGATTGAAGAACGTGGCCGATTCTGTTCATTTATTTCTATGCTGCGTCCTGTAATTGTGAGTTCCATTCCCAACACTTTTATTGTTCATGTGTCTTTGAAAGAAAGTGAAGTATTTCTACAGTAACATATTGTATTTCCAATTCCTGTTTTTTAAAGTATCCATAACCTACTTAATGCTTCTCCCCTCACATACACAGTTAAGCACAAAAGGACTGTGACAAGATAAGATAGACAGTACACATAAAACAATACGCAATATACTGTAAATAAGAGAATAACAGAATTGGAGGGGACCTTGGAGGTCTTCTAGTCCAACCCCCTGCTCAGGCAGGAAACCCTATACCATTTCGGACAAATGGCTGTCCAGTCTCGTCTTAAAGACTTCCAGTGTTGGAGCATTCACTGCTTCTGGAGGCAGGTTGTTCCACTGGTTAATTGCTCTAACTGTCAGGAAATTTCTCCTTAATTCTAGGTTGCTTCTCTCCTTGATTAGTTTTCATCCGTTGTTTCTTGTCCTGCCTTCAGGTACTTTGGAGAATAGGTTGACTCCCTCTTCTTTGTGGCAACCCCTGAGATATTGGAACACTGCTATCATGTCATCCCTAGTCCTTCTTTTCATTAAACTAGACACCTCAATTTCCTTGCAACCACTCTTTATATGATTTAGCCTCCAGTCCCCTAATCATCTTTGTTGCTCTACTCTGCACTTTTTCTATCATTGTGGCGACCAAAACTGGATGCAGTATTCCAAGTGTGGTCTTACCAAGGCATTATAAAGTGGTATCATGTGAAGATTTTCATGACTTTCATAAAAATATTTGAAAGAGCTTTGCATAACTCTGGTGATCCATATTCTGAAAAGTCATTACTGTGAAGATCCCCTCTTTCATGCACACTATGAAAGGGGTTTTTCTGAAGAATATTATAAGGACCTTCTGAAGAATTGTATGGCTGGATTTGATGATCAAGATGCAACTAACACAATTATGTGCACAGATGAGAAGCATCACTTAATGGTTCAGAATATTTTTTTCTTTTCTGTACAGTTGATGTACAGTAATAGTAGATTCTTATTTCAGAATATTTCTTGAATTCAGTGGAACTTCAGTAGACATATATAGGTGTATAGAATAAAAGAATGAGATACAAAATTGATGAGCATGAGGTTCTTGCACAGTGCAATAAGATAATGTCCTACCTTTGTAGATCGTTTTAAGGATATGCAGTGAAAGTTTTGACACTTAAAAACACCTTTATATTCATTCATTCCGATTTTATTTTATTTACCTGGTCCTTTCAATTCCCTGCGCACCCTTAAATTTATTTATTCAATATTTTCTATGCAACCTTTCATTCTAAATATTCTCGGGCAAGGTAACAAATACATGAAAAGTATTAAGTAGCTAGTTAAGAATTGCAAATAATCAAGAGGCATTGAAAGCTTGGAATTTTTTAAATTAGTTACTTGGCACTGATAACTGCAAATTAGGTGACAGTCAACACTTCTAGGACAGAATTCTCATAATCTGTTTTCATTTCTCTTTCATCTACCTCCCTCTTCCAGACCGAGAAGTAATTTCTGTTGGAAATGACAGAGACCTTGTGCGTAGGGTGTCCTGGGAAATTAGGAATAGAAAAATAGAATAGTTATTGGGTATGACGGAAGTGAGAGACTTAACTACTTAGTTCTTCTCTTTGCTTAGCTAGCTCATCTGTGAATGAATCCATTCTGTCAAAGAGCCTTGTAAATTGGATCTGAATACTTTATATGTATCTTGTGGAAGGAAGAGATATAACTAGGCTGTGTGCTATTAAACTATTCCATGGCTTTGTTACTATATGTAAATAAAAAGAGGGGCACAATGGCTCAGCGGTTAAAGACGCTGAACTTGTGAACTGGAATGTTGACAGCCCAGGTTTGAGACCCGAGGGTCATGTGACAGAGTGAGCGCCCGTCCCTTGAGGCAGCTCCTGCCCACCTAGTTCGAAAGCACGCAAATGCGAGTAGATAAATAGGTACCATTTCAGTGGGAAGGGAACCGCTTTTTGTGTGCCTTGACGTATAGTCAGGCTGGCTACATGACCTTGGAAGCATCTTTGGACAATGCTGGCTCTTTCGGCTAGGACAGGGAGGCAACCTTGGCTCTTTTATGACTCGTGGACTTCAACTCCTAGAATTCCTGAGCCAGCATGGCTCAGCTTGGAAACCTCTCCGTTTCCCCTCAGTATGGCTGGCTCAGGAATTCTGGGAGTTGAAGTCCACGAGTCATAAAAGAGCCAAGGTTGCCTACCCCTGGGCTAGGAAATGGAGATGAACACTGCCCTCAGACACGACTGGACAGGGGAAACCTTTACTTTTATATGTAAATGAAGTTACCTCTTCCTTTCTTCCTCCTTCCCCAAACCATGAATTTTGGAAATAAACCTCCCCAAATTCATACTTAGGGGGTAGGTAAGGAGGTTTTACAACTCCTGCTAGCATGTTTTAAGATACATATCAGTGTTGTGAGAATAAAGTATTGGAGAAATATAGATCCGCCCTACTGTATTTCCACGTTGTGGTAAGACTGTCCTCAGTTGACGAACTGAATACACAATAAAATTGAGTAGATAAGCAATACCAGATTCTGTATTTTTTTTAAAAAAAAAAAATCTTACAGGAAGAAGAAATATCAATGCTAGGAGAAATAACTCATCTACAGACCATATCAGAAGATCTGAAAAGCCTCACCATGGACCCACACAAGCTGCCATCATCAAGTGAACAGGTACACTGGTTTTTTAAGATTCCTGACTCAAAAATAGTAAGGTGGTCCTCCATTTACAACCATTCATTTAGTGACCATTACAATGGCACTGAAAAAGGCGACTTACGGTCATTTTTCTCACTTATGACCGTTGCAGCATCCCCATGATCATGTGGTCACAATTCAGACGCTTGGCATCTGGCATGTATTTATGTCAACTGCAGTGTCCTGAGGTCTTGGGAACACCTATTGTGATCTTCTGACAAGCAAAGTCAATGGGGAAGCCAGATTCACTTAACCGTGTTACTAACTTAACAACGATAGTGATTCACTTAACAACTGTGGCAGGAAAGGTTGTAAAATGGGACAAAGTTCACAGAACAGTTCTCTTGCTTAGTAACAAAAAAAATGTGTGCTCCTTCTTTACATTCATTTGGGGAATTAAGGCAAAAACAAAAATCTCAGTCAATGTACCCTCAGAGATACTACATCGTTCAATTTTTGCAAGAAGAACTGGAGTATTGGAGCAGGTTTTTTAATGCAGGAAGTTGGTTTTGAAATAGAGGTTGTGTTATAGGTTTTGTATAACATGCAAGAGAGCCAGTTTGATGTAATGGTTAAGGCATCAGGCTAGAAACCGAGAGAAGGTGAGTTTTAGTTCCACCTTCGACACAAAGCCAACTGGGTGATTTCGGGCCTGTCACACACTCTCAGCCCTAGGAAGGAGGCAATAGCAAACCACCAAAACCAAAATCTTGCCAATAATACTGCAGGGATTAGTTTAGGCCAGGGATAGGCAACCTTGGCTCTTTTATGACTCGTGGACTTCAACTCCCAGAATTCCTGAGCCAGCCATGCTGAGGGGAAAGGGAGAGGTTTCCAAGCTGAGCCATGCTGGCTCAGGAGTTCTGGGAGTTGAAGTCCATGAGTCATAAAAGAGCCAAGGTTGCCTACCCCTGGACTTTAGGCAATCACCACAAATCAAAACTAACTCAAGAAGTCATACAGTAATTGCATAGTAAGAAAGAGAGTTCATCTCAGTCCATAGCCCATTGTTTTCACTGGAACATGTGAACACATAATTTGGATGCTGTTCTGGCATATAACAAATTTGTCTTGGTTTTTATTTCATCTAAATATTGGGTGTATTTATCAAAGACTTTAAAATATTTATTGAGGGACGCACAGTTGAACGTTACCATGCATAATCTATGGGCCAGTTATGACATCTTTTATTCTGTTCGCTCAATTATCGATGTTCTGCAATGTGCTTAGTACTGTATTGTCTCTGATGTTTTTAGAATGTTTTCTTTTATTTTGCATGCCTGAAAATCCAACCCTAACTTATTTTATAATTAAGCAGTTCTCGGAATAACCCAAGACATAGCGATAGTTCCCTTTGGTTCATAGATTATATTGCATTGCTATCAGAGAAGCTGCTAATTATTATTAGTAAAGAGCAGTGTTTCTCAACCGTGGCAATTTGAAGAGAGGTTTTTCCATGGACCGGAGGGGATGTGTTTTCATGTGCTGCCTGCATCCCACGGATGGGGCTTCGCTTGTTTGCCTGGCCCGGATTCTGGTGCTGGTCCACAGACTGTTGTGAGTCCGTGCCAGCCACTGGACCCGGCAGCTGAGTCCGGGGAATCAGAGGAGGAGGAGGAGGGGCCTGGAGAGCCATCGGAGTCGGAGGAAGGCTCTGATGAATTGCAGGACTTACTATCTGATGAAGAGGCTGGCCCTTCCAATCGTGCTCAGGCTGAGATGTGCGGGGAAGCTGAGTCAAACTCTGAGGACTCACAGCTGGAAGACATTAGAGACACTTGCAAACGCAGACTGGCAACAAGAGCAGAACAGAGGGAGACAATGGGGCGACTCCAGGGAAGGAGGAGAAGGCATTGAGAAGCCACGCCTTGGGGCTGCATAATAAAAAGGGAAGGTGTGGGCGGTGTTTGCAAAGGACTCAAGTTTCATGGAATCCTGTTTTGTTTGTCTTGCTTGTGAAAGTTCTCCGTTTGCATCGTGTTTTGTTTGCCTTGGACAAATCTCCGTTTGCATCGTGTTTTGTTTGCCTTTGCTTTGGGGATATTTTGCAGGTCTGTACCTAACTAAATAAAGGGGTTTGTTTTCCCTGCATTTCCAGCCTGCTTGTTAAAAGAGGGGTTTGTCCTTGTGAATTAACAAGGACTCACATAGGCTGGGACAGAACACGGACTGGGGGTTGGAGACCCCTGAGTTAGAAGACCCCAAACCAGCCTTTTAAAGTCCTTCTTGATCTTTCATGGTGATTTTTGTTTTTTCTCAGGTAATTCTCGATTTGAAAGGTTCCGATTATGGCTGGTCCTATCAGACTCCTCCTTCTTCTCCCAGTACCACCATGTCCAGAAAATCCAGTGTGTGCAGGTAAGTGTGGTACATGATGTTTAAGATTTTGAATTTGGGCCAGGAAAACCCAACCTCACCACCTGTTCTTAATGGAACTCATTGTGTGTTCATTACCCTCTCAGCCACCCAACTTTGCTTATCAGGGAGATGGACGAATTTAATAAACTTTCGACTGTATGGGAATTTACTTAGGGGTGAACTCCATGTACATTTCCTTCAGCAAACAGGGTGGTAGAAAAAAACAGGATAAAATGCAGTAAATAAAATGAAATTATCCTGTTTCTTAAGGAGCCCTGTTGTTTAAACTTTTTAGTCTGTTGTATTTGGATTTGAACTTAGAACAGGGGTGTTAAACTGCCAGCCTGCGGGCTGGTTGCATCATGTGGAGGCCACATCCATCCCAGCTCTGGCAGTGCGAAAAAAAGTCACAATACGTCGCGACACGTCACGTGACGCGGCAAGTTTGACACCCGTGACTTAGAACATTCAGCAAGTCTGAAGCGATCTTTTTGGAACTGATTGAGCCATCGTTTCTGCTGAGTTCTGTCAACTTTTCCATTATTCATTTGTGGCACTGTATTTAGTTGGGCTTCCAACATTGCAGTCCCTGTGTCCTGACCCAGGTCGTGTAGGTAGATGCAGGCAACAGTAAAGTCTTTTATTGCACTGCTAAACCACGACAGACGGCCCTGGGGGGGGGGTTGATAAACCCCCATCCCACTTTTCCCCCAAAACCAGCAACCCACTGTCAATGTAAACACAGTCCCACCAGCTGAGTCCAATAGTCACCAAAAACAAACCCCCAAATAGGAAGAAAGGCGAAGTCCACAAATCCAGTGCAGACGTTGCAAAAACAAGCCACAAGCAGAGTCAGAGCCCGCAAAGCAAGATACGCAAATCCAGAGGCTGAAACCTGAGTTGGAGGCTAGAAGTCAAGGTTTCTCAAAGTCAGGGAAGAGTGCCAAGACAAGCAGTTGTTCCCAGTGTTCCCTGGCCTCTGGTTGAATCAGCCCAAGCTAGGTGTTCCTTGTGAGGAAGGGTGGGACAGCCTCCTCATGAGCAGCCTCACAGACCTCTTCTGAGCTTCCCTCTGCTCCACCCTCCATGCCCTCAGATCAGGTGGGGAAGGCAGCTGTTCCTTTTTCAGAGGGGATTTGTTGTCTCTCATCACCATTGCCTGTCTGCAACTGATCTTCCCCTGTGTTTGTGAAGTTAGGCAGCTCCCCAGCCGGTCGACCACTTCCCCCAATGCTGGAAGGGCCTGGGACAGCATCATCCTTAGCCCCTGGACTCTCCAGACATTCTAGGGCAGTGGTGGCGAACCTATGGCACGCGTGCCAGAAGCAGCACTCGGAGCCCTCTCTATGGGCACACGTGCCGTTTCTCCAGCCCCGCCTCCCCCCACGGCCCCCTCCTCCCCAGAAGCCCCCCTGGAGGAGAGTAGCCCCCGAGCGTGGCCCACGCGGAGCAGCAAAGCCAAAGACATGGCAGCCAGGCAGCGTAGAAAAGACTCTGCCCTCATGCCCCATCACACACAGTTGATGCTGTGGGCGCGGGCAAAAGGCCGTGGCCGCCATGGCGCTGCTGGGCTGCCTGGGTGATCTGCGGTGGGCCCTGGAGGCGGTGAGTGGCCCTGCGGGCAGGCGGGGTGAGGGCGGGGCAGGGGGTGGAGCGAGGGCGGGGCCAGTTTTTGGACACTCGGTCTCTTAAAAAGTTTGCCATCACTGTTCTAGGGGAGATGTGCCATCCCCGTCAGATGCTCCTGGTTCCAACTCCGTCTCCAAAGCAGGATCCAACGGGGCCGTGACACCCCTACCACTTAGCATTTTAGAATCCTGAGGTGTCTCCAAATCTTGATTGAATTTTCATTAAAATTCTGTGGATTTGCCCCTAATATTGGAGTGATTCGGAATGCGTACGGTTGAGGATTCTAATGCTTAAAAGAATTTTACCAAAAGCGGCTTGAGAAAATTAAAAGGTCTCTTTTAATCGAGTCGGTTTACTGTTTAATTGATGATCCAGAGTCTGCTCTTCCTTGCCCTGCTTTCATGCCCTTGAACACTTAAGGTGGAATAAAAGAAGGAGAACTAATTATGAAGGAACTTCAGTGGCATAGCAGATTAAAGTATCTGAGAGCATCAGTCGTCTCTCAAATGGTTGGGATAAAGTCGTTTGTTGTTAGATGCAATAGCTGTGAACTGTTCAGCACTGTTTTAATAAGTTAGTTTTGTTTTGTGTGTCTTGGAACTCTTGAGATGCCTTTTCAACCTCCTCCAATAAACTGTTTTTCTCTTGGCTAAAACAGTTGACCGCATGCACACCTAATTCCTTGCTTCTCCCCAGGTGTATTGAAACCTTTACTTTTCTCCTTTTCTCCAGCAAAAGGAAAACTTCCTGCTGTCCTTCTGTCTTTTCATTTCTCCCTAGCCCCGAAGCTCTCACATTATTATCACTTTATTTTAAAATGTTTGCCTCCTGAATCACATAGATTGGAGATGCCGTAGCATCCCTGGCATGAGAGAGAGAGAGCGAGCAGTTCATTTTGCATTTCCTTTCAAAGCTAGCTGTCCGTGCATGCCTTTGTATAGTATCTATATCCAAGAGATCTATAGATATTTACGTTGATGGCAGGAAACACAGGCTTTCAAAAATGCAGTATCCTGAAACGTAAAAGGAAAATGGCAGGCTGAAAGTCTACTGGAAGTCTAATGGCCAAAGTAGGCAAGTTGGTGTTGCAAGGGAATGTGTGGTGTTGGCAGTGACTAAATAAGCCACATTGCTCCTTCACCTTTTCAGATTGACCCTCCAAGAGACTGCTGTTAACACCTTAAAACAAATCCATAACAATTTCCACTTATCTGCCATTCAACTTGTGTTATCTGAGTATTGGAGTCGACAAGATTTAAAGCAGGGGTTTCAAGGTTTCGAGAAGGGCCCCTGCAGACATCCTTGGAAGTTTTGTCAAGGAGTCAAAAGTGTTGTCAAACTGTTGGGCCAACCGTTGAGAGAACCCCGGGAGTACCAAAACCTTTTAGAGCAGGGCTTTTCAACCTTTTCACCCATTGTACCACTTTTAGGATATGGCAATATCCGAGTACCACCAGTCGCCTAGCAAGGTGTCAAAAACTTGATGACCCCCCCCAAAAGGAAAAAAGTGATAAAGTACAGGTAGTCCTCAACTTACAACAGTTCGCTTAGTGACTGTTCGAAGTTACAATGGCACTGAAAAAAGTGCCCCCCAAGACATAGCCGAGCAAGACACTTGCCTGCCCACCCAGTGGCGCTCTTCCTCCTGTCCAAGGTTTTCATTGTTGTGAGCATTTCTGTTGAGGATTGGCAGCAGGGGTGGGAGGTGTTTGGTTTTTATTCCCCCTGTCTGCTGGGTGGTTGCAGCAGGTTTTGGTCACTTCACATGACCCTGGGATACTGTGACCATCATAAATATGAATCAGTTGCCAAGCATCTGAATGTAAATCACAAGACCCTGGAGATGCTGCAACAGTCCAGCTGATCGGTGCTTCTTCTGGGCCCAGCTGGAGCCTGGCACTGATCCTGGCGCTTCCACTGAGCCCTGACAGCCCTGCAGCTCCAGCTATCTCTCGCTCAGGCTTGTGCAGTGCTGCCACCAGTTCAGCTCATTCCCCTCCCCCACTACCACTTTTCTAGGATGGTCGCGTACCACCTGCCAAGTGCCAATGTACCACAGGTGGTACCCATACCACTGGTTGAAAAGCCCTGTTTTAGAGCATCATCAATGGCACACTAGGCCTTCCTTGAGGGAGGTGTGAACTGGGTGGCCAATAATTGCCCAAGACAATCAACTGTTCCACACCCTTGGTGGGCAGCTTAAAATGTATACTATAAATGGGGTTTGTCTGTTCTGGTGATAAGCTGGAAGATGAGATGAAGGAGTTCAGGAAGGCAGTTGAGGATTCTGAGTAAGGGAATGAGAATAAAATACATTTGATCACCTACACGAATCCCACAGTTTGTGATAGATCCTGTGCATTGTTCACATTGGTTTTACTGAGACTTGTATAGGAGAACTATCCTGTTGATTGTTCTGAATATGGATATTTCCTGGAAGGGCTGCCAGTTGAAAGTTCCACCCGCCTATGAAATATTTTGAAGAAGAACCAAATCGCGCAGGCAGTCCTCAACTTAACAACCATTCATTTAGGGACTATTCAGAGTTAAGCGGCTTATGACCGCTCAGTAGTTACGACCGTTAACAGCATCCCCACGATCACGTGATCAAAATTCGGACGCTTGGCAACTGGATCATATGGATGACATTTGCCGTGTCCCAGGATCATGGGGATCCCCTTTTGTGACCACCTGACCTGCAAAGTTAATGGGGAAGCCAGATTCACTTAACACACTGCGATGGTTCCCTTAACAACCGTGGCAAGAAAGGCCGTAAAATGGGGCAAAACTCGCTTCACAAGTGCCTTGCTTACCGATGGAAATTTTGAGCGCAACCGTCATAGGTCGAGGACTACCCGTATTGCAGCGTTCCTCAACTTTGGTGCCTTTAAGCTGTGTGGATTTTTAATCGTGTGCACTTAGCTTAGAGATGCCAGGGTTGAAAAACGCCACTGAATGCCATTAGCTAGAACAGTGTTTCTCAACCTTGACCATTTTAAAGCATGTGGACTTCAACTCCCAGAATTCCACAGCCAAGGTTGAGAAACACTGAGCTAGAAAGAAAGTTGCTCCCTTTCACTGCTAGCTATTCTCCCGGAAGAAAATTCTGAGACAGCCCAGGGCAACCACATAGGATTATTATTATTTTTAGGTCCGGTTGTAGATTAGAATACGAGCATCACCCCCTGATTTTGCCATTTTCTGTCTGGTTACTAAGGATACTGCAGCAAAACCTATGGCTTAAAACTACTACTTCTGGTTTCACCATTTTATGATTTGCGCATGCCTAGCCGGGGATCCATGGGACGTTAATTGTATTGTGCCGGTTTCTCCCTACCTACCCCTTTCTTTTTGTTTTGTTTCGTTCCCCTCCTCCCGCCCCCACCCCTCCCTTGCCTCCATTCTCTTCCTTTGTATCTCACAGCAGTCTGAACAGTGTAAACAGTAGTGACTCCCGGTCAAGTGGCTCGCATTCTCACTCACCCAGTTCACACTATCGCTACCGCAGCTCCAATCTGCCTCAGCAGGCACCAATGAGGCTCTCCAGTGTCTCCTCGCACGACTCTGGATTCATGTCCCAGGACGCTTTTCAATCCAAGTCACCGTCCCCGATGCCGCCCGAAGCCTCCAACCAGGTATGTCTTGAACTCGTGTGGGATGACCGTGATGCCTTGTCTGGTAATGCTGTGGGAGAAAGGAAGCCTAGCTTTAGAGACCCCAGGAGGTCCTACCACGTGGTTTCCACGTCCTGTAGTCAAAGTTAGTTGGTTATCCGTTTGCTGCATTCTGATCCTTGTTTCCTCGTTGAGAATTGTATCTGCGTTTGGCTTAGAAAGTCTTATCCCCTCCTACAGCTTAGGAGAGGTAGCTGAAATTAGCTTCTAGTTGATAAAGAGAAGCCTAGAAGATGGAAATCTGTTTTCATCCGATCAAAATAGAGAGCCCTTTTAGGTCTTTTAACACAGAGGTCCCCAACCTTCTGGGCACCAGGGACCGGTTCCATGGAGAAAGGTTTTTCCACAGACCAAAAAGTGCGTGGTTTTGTGTGCTGCCTGCATCCCACAGATGGGGCTTTGCTTGTTTGTGCGGACCAGTTGCTAGCATGCCGTGGCCCAGTACCGGTCCACAGACCAGGGGTTGGGGACCCCTGTTTTAACATGCCACATTTTGTAATAATAACCTTGAAGACTGAGGTAGCAAAATTGGATATGCAAGCAACTAGAACAGAAGATTCAGGACAAGTAGCAGCTGCTAAGTCAAGATTTCCTCGTGTGTTCTCTGTCATTCTTGGTGCAAAACACACTCAAGCTTAGATTTCATATTGCACCCAAATTCTTATAAATTGTCTTAATCCAAGATCCTTGATTTCAAGAATTGGCATTATATTAGTATGTTGGTTTTGTTTGAGTCCACCTTAATTGCTATAGGCAGGAACGAACGACCTGTGGCACGTGAATGAACTATTACTACAGTTCTCAGCAGTCCTAGCCATTATAGACAAAGGTACATGGATTTCTAGCTCAGTATGAGTTTATCCATATCTGTGCTACAGGTAAGTCCTCGACTTACAACAGTTTGTTTAGTGACCGTTCGAAGTTACAACAGCCCTGAAAAAAGTGACGTGTGACCGTTTTGCACACTTAGGACTCCTGCGGCATCCCCATGGTCACGTGTTCAAAATTCGGTTGCTTGACAACTGACACATATTTATGACCGTTGCCGTGTCCCAGGGTCACATGTGATCATCTTTGCGACTTTCTAATGAGCAAAATCAATGGGGAAGCCAGATTCACTTAACAGCCGAGTCCGTAACTTAACAGCTGCAGCGGATTCACTAAATAACTGTGGCAAAGAAAGGCCGTAAAGTGAGCCAAAACTCACTTAACAAACTGTCTCACTTAGCAACAGAAATTTTGGGCTCAGTTGTGGTTGTATGTCGAGGACTACCCTGCAGTGGCTTATCCATTTCTGATAAGAGGATATTGAGAAAGAATCGTTTTCAGAAATGTGCAAACTGAAGCCACGAGCATTTTGCAAGAGGTTGACAAAAGCTACGTTCAACACCCAACAACCGTCTCTTTTGGATGTGCGTGTGAGTGACATCATGACGCATATATCAAAAGGCGAGGGTTTTGTGTCATTGTAGAACGACTCTGTTTTCCTCCTTCAGCCCCCTGGAGATAACTGCTTCTTGTGGGCCCACGTTTGCCTTGAATGCTGTGTGTAATCTCTGAAAGTCTTGAAATCTTTTAATTCTTGGTTCTTAAAAACAGCTACTAAAGAGCAATTTTGCTGCAATAGAATAGGGAAATTATTAACAGTGAGTAATTGTAGTAATGGTTTATTGAGTCTTAACTTCACATTAGATGCAAAATTGTATTAAACTAAGACCTATCTGGTTCTGGCAGTTACCTGCCGTATTTTAATTGACATGTCCATAGTCCACACAAGTCCCCTTATAAGTAAACCTGTAGAGATTGTCAGCATAATTTAAGCATGCAAACAAAAGTATATTTTTTCCTCCATCAGTATTGCGTTTGAAGTCCTGCTGGTTAGACAGCGCCAACTAACTTGGTTGACAGATTTCCCCAGAAGCTGTTCATTGTGTGCAATTTGTGTTAATAACCAACTGACAAGCCGTAACTTTTGCAGTTTGTGTATTAAGGGCTGAGTGTGACCAAGAAAAAATAGTCGTGCAATGCCATATGTTGTATTTGAAAGCAAAATATTGTCTCTAACAGAAACACTGTGGTGAAAACCGCCTCCCACCCACCTCCTTTTATGATGCTTTTTATGTATTTTTAATGTCTCGTTCTCTGTTGCTGAGGGACAAAAGAATGCATTCCACAGGTCTCGCAGCTCTTCCAAAGAATGGAAGAAGAGGGATTTTTTCATGTTACATTTCAAAATTATCCCACATTATTGGGCACTTTAGAGGTGTTGCTTAGACTGTTAAGAAAAAGGTTGATTGACTCAAAGAGAAATAAGTATTTCTGTCAGTTAGTCTATTTGTATGAAATCCAAACCATTGTATGAGGTAAGAATTTGCTTCCTGTGTCCTTCCATAGTTGAAGCCATAGTCTGTATATGTGAATAGTACTATCTTTTCCTTCCTTCCTTCCTTCCTTCCTTCCTTCCTTCCTTCCTTCCTTCCTTCCTTCCTTCCTTCCTTCCTTCCTTCCTTCCTTCCTCTCCCCATCTCCTCCCTCCCTTCTAAAAATAGAAATAAATACAAGTAGGATCCCGTGATTTGCCCTCCCCGTAATAAACAAGTCCATGAACTGAGCTCTAGCTACTTGCCAAGACTTTAGCTACACACTTTTCGTCTACTAGTATTCTCAGGTTCATCTTCCTATGTTTCAAAATGGGAAGCAGTGTCTAATGTGCCTCCCCAGAAGGTTAAGTTTGACTTAACCCTACGTTCTGACGTAGTGCTTGAAAGAAAAGCCATTAGGAAGTCCAAATATTGAAGGTTAGATTGCAAAGTTTCAAAAACCAAGACAATTGGCAACCTCCTTGTATATACATAGTTACTAAACAAACAATATAGAGGTTGCGTGCGGTCATCAGGAATTGAACTGAAAACTTGAAGAAAATTTCATGTAGAGATGGCTTGATCGGGGGTTGGGTGCATCGTTCAAAGAGTAATTTGTAGAGTAATCTGGTGTACTCCTGAGCAGACTTTAAGACGTGCTCTGAGTGAATAGTAAGACATTTCAGAAATGGAAACGTTGATTGGTGGCTTCATCTTGTGCAGGGGTAGGCAATCTTGGCTCTTTTATGACTCGTGGACTTCAACTCCCAGAATTCCTGAGCCAGCACAGCTGGCTCAGGAATTCTGGGAGTTGAAGTCCACGAGTCATAAAAGAGCCAAGGTTGCCTACCCCTGGTCTTGTGCTACCAGAGTACTTCATCCCTCAGTCTCTTTCAAAAATAGTCATTATCAAGTAAATTGATGTAGTGTTAGTCTTGACTTGTCCTTGACAGATCCTTACGGTTGTGCCCAGCATAGATCTTGAAAGCTAAAGGCGACCTTCAGCCGGGTCAGAGCTGTGTTTGCCTGCCTGACTATCCTGAATGGTACCCTTGGAATAAATGATTCCCACCTTACATTTGAAGCAGCCTACAAACTCTGCAATCATGTCATCTTTTGCTGAAGGGTTGCTCGCACTTTCTGTGGGGCGTACCTGGCTTGTGCCTGTTCCTTGCTTTTCATCCCTAGTGAGAGGGACCCTGCTGTGGTCTAGAAAAAGGTGTGCTGTTGAAGAAAGAACAGGGAGTCTCACCTGTAGAAGATTGACCAGTGGAAGGCAGTGAGCATCCTTCTTGGTCCTTGAGCAGGAAGGCAGTGTTGAGATACTCCCCTCTTGCACGTTTTGTTTTGTGATTTCGTGAAATGATATGGCACCTTCCCCGACGTGTTGCCTTCCAGTTGTATCAAGATGGCAAGTCCCAGATCTGCAGCCAGGACATCCAACTCGTTCTCCAGACCTTTGGGAGGCCATTAAGTTGATCCGCTATGCTGCGAAGAATCTACCATGTAGAACCCATTGCTTTGGTCCCTCCGCACTCTTCAAAAACTTATAATCGTGTTTAATGCTTAGATTTTTTTTCCCCTAACACTCTGCTTTTCTTCTCCTCTGTATGTTTTTGTCCTTTGCTCTTTTTTTTGTTTTGTTTTTAATTTGTTTCATTGGCTTGTCTTTCTTCCCTTTTCTTCCTTTTCTCTGTTTGTGGTGCCGTTTCGGCTTTTTTTTTTTTTTTTTTTTTTTTTTTTTTTTTTTTTTTTTTTTTTTTTTTTTTTTTTTTTTTTTTTTTTTTTTTGGAACCCCAGCAGAATTCGTCCAGCTCAGCCTCTTCTGAAGCCTCTGAAACCTGCCAGTCAGTGAGTGAGTGCAGCTCCCCCACCTCTGTCAGTTCAGGCTCCACCATGGCGGCTTGGGCCTCCACAGAAAAGGTGAAAAAGACTTAATCTTGAAGACTCGTGATTTGGTTTTTCCAGGCTCTGTAATATTCAGGAGAAAAATATATACACAACTGCAAACAATGAGAAGCTGTAGATGAGAATGGAAAACGTCCAGGTTCTCTTGAAGGGTTGAAGTGAACAGACTCATGAATGAAACCGTGGTAAAAGCTGACCTTGATGTTGGCTTTTAAGCTTTGTCAAAGAAGTTGCCCCCAATTCAGATGTAGTTAAAGGAGCTCTCTATGTCCCCAGTATAGGTAGTATTTGACTTACAACAGTTCATTTAGTGACCATTTGAAGTTACAACGGCACTGAAAAAAGTGACTTATGACCTTTTTGCACACTTAAAATCCCCATGGTCACGTGATTTACATTTGCATTTTGACAGCTGACTCACATGACGGTTGCAGAGTCCCAGAGTCATGTGACTTTCTGACAAGCAAAGTCAATGGAGAAAGCAGCCATGTTAACAAATGGGGCAAGATAAGTCATAAACTGGGGCAAAACTCACTCAACAAATTTCTCACTTAACAACATAAAGTTTTGGGCTCAGTTGTAAGTCAAGGACTACCTGTAGGGGCAACCATGTCCTGAAGTGAACACAATTAAGGCTTGGGAGACAGAAATTAACATTTTCCAAGGCACTTGAAAAGACTTCTATAGCATGTAGGGATGTTGTTATGAGTAGCTTTCTGTCCACAAATCTACCTTTGAGAAATAAAACAGTAAGAAATGTCCTTTTTTTTCTAAAGAGGGAGACCCAAATCTGGAGAAAATAGACTTTTACCATCTCAGAATGTAAATTGCAATTGTCCATTTTTCCAAATTCACCTGGAAAAGCCAGATCCTTTTGGCAGGTGTACATACATCTGCCCAGCATCCTAGAGGTCAAAGTGAGGGAGGGGAGTGGTGGGATCCATACTCATGAGCAATTTCCTCTTCCATTCCTCCTGTCGTTTTGTTTTGTTTTGTCTTGTCTTGTCCGCAAACGAGTCATTTTCTGAAGCTGAGCTACTGCAAGAAACGAAATACGTGGATATCCTGAGCTATCAGGCCCAGGAAGAATAGCCTTATATTTTACAGTAGTATGTCAAATGTGGATTTATATTAGGATATGTTGCTCCTGATAGTACCTGGATCACAGATGGATAGATAATTTCTTTGCATACAGTAGTCTCTGAACCTCTGGCATTCTCAATTGCTTAAAAACCAGTACCAGGGAATCAAAGAGATAATACAGGTAATCCTCATTTAGTGACCTTCGCCGTCACAAAAGTGATGAAAAAGTCACTTTGCAAATAATCCTCACATTGACAACTCTCCTAGGACTGTAAAATAAAGAAGAGTTGATTGCAGAATTGTGATGTTTCGCTTAACGGCCAAGTTGACAGAACAATTAATCAGTGGAACAACCTGCCTCCAGACGTTGTAGGTGCTCCGACACTGGAAGTTTTAAAGAAGAGATTGGACAACCATTTGTCTGGAATGGTTTAGAGCAGGGGTAGGCAACCTTGGCTCTTTTATGACTCGTGGACTTCAACTCCCAGAATTCCTGAGCCAGCATGGCTCAGCTTGGAAACCTCTCCCTTTCCCCTCAGCATGGCTGGCTCAGGAATTCTGGGAGTTGAAGTCCACGAGTCATAAAAGAGCCAAGGTTGCCTACCCCTGGTATAGGGTTTTCTGCCTGAGCAGGGTGTTGGACTAGATGACCTCCAAGGTCCCTTCCAACTCTGTTGAGAACTTGACCAGAGAGGATCTTTATTCTTTTTGTTGAATGAAGCTCCTGAGGGGGTTCTCATTTACCAAAAGAGCACAGCCTTTTACTGCCATGTGTCTCCTCACACCGACTTACGAAGTGCTCCCGCCTCTGGGGCAGAGCTGTGGTCCCAACGATTCAGCTCCCGAAAAATGACCTCGTTTGTTCTTGTTCTGGTTTTCTCTTCCAGAACATGGTTTGCCTAGTTGAGTGTCATTAACAAAGCATGAGCAAGCACCGGGTACGGGTGTTGACTAGCCAAAGGGACTAGAACCATTGAGAGCATTCCCCTTCCTTTCTCCCAGATCAACGCATGCCTGTTTTCACTTTGTACTCCCCCATATTTGGACCTATTTATATTAATTTCTCTCCTTTTTTTCCCCTTTTCTTTTTTTTATTGTTCTTTTTTGTTTGTTTCCAGTTGTCTAATGGGTATTATCACTGTAGTTTACCCAGAGGCTCATCTTTAGCCCCCGTTGGTGTGGGTTCTTTCCCTCATATTCCGTCTGTCTCTCACGCATGGACCCGGGCCACCTCCTCCACCCTCCTTCCAGACTACGTTCATTATTACACCATTGGGCCAGGCATGTTACCATCATCTCAGATTCCTAGTTGGAAGGTTTGTGTTTCTTTTCGTTCCTGTTAGAGTCTCTCCTTGTCATCCCTCACCCCATCCCTTGCAAGAAATTGCTTCTCAATTCTTACTTAATTCTGGGTGGACCTTTGATGCCTTCAGCTCTCCTCTCCTGTTCTGAGTTCTTGATCTGGTGGTGGAATTCTTCTCCTTCATCCTGCTTTTCCAGTAATTGAATCATTTTATTTTTTTTTAAATGCTATTGTTTTGGATCGGTGGTCTCCAAACTTGGCAACTTTAAGACTTGTGGATTTCAACTCCCCAAATTCACCAGCCAGCATGGGTCTGGGGGATTCTGGGAGTTGAAGTCCACAAATCTTAAAATGGCCAAGTTTGAAGACCCCTGGTTTGGATGAACAAGCTCCCAGCTTTGTAATCTCTGCAACTCTTTTGACTTTTCAGATTGTTTATGAAGTAGCAGTTGGTATTTGCAGATGGGATTTACATATAATCAATTATGCATTTATTTTGTATCTTGCCTTTACTATTTTAACAAATAACTCACGTTTTCCCCACAACAACAATCCTGTGAGGTGGGTTGGGGCTGAGAAAGAGTGACTGGCCCAACATCATCCAACTGGTTTTTCATGTCTAAAGCGGGACTAGAACTCACAGTCTCCCACTTTCTAGCCTGATGCCTTAACTGCCCATGTGGGTTACCGATACTATAAAGCACAATCTATGTTCTTTTCTTTCAGCAGTGATCCCATTAGTAAATCCTTTTAAAGTCCTCCTAAAAACCTGTTCATGATTTCATTCCTGGAGACTTTTGTTAGGTTACTTCTGTGGGTGCAGAGTTTTTATTGCCAAATCTCATTCTTCATGGGATCACGTTCAGAACATCTTGCTGGTATCAAATGTCATGAGAAACTGGCCATTGTAAATTACTTTTGCAATAGAGTTGGTATCTAAAGATACTTTTAAGTTTTGAGAAAGCATGAGGAAAAACATAATTTGGGAGAGTAGGAAATAAAGAGGGAACTGCTCTGGAAACTCTGGAGGAACATTTGCTAGGAATATTGGGACTCTAGCTTCCAGGTTGGCCAAGTTGCTTAGGAATTGTGGGAAACGTAGCCCCAACTAAAAGACTGCAAACTGTTTTGAGGTCAAAACCTTCTGATCCTGGAGTGGACTCATCTAACTCCAGAATTGATTGGAGTAACTTCATTTGAAGTCACACCACTTGATAAGGTCAAAACTCTGGGCTGAGACACTATGACCTAATATTTCACGCACACACCTGGAGAAAACTAAGTTTGGAAAGAGTGCTCCATAAAGAACATACATTTTTGAGTATAATATCCTTCTCCACCTGGGCCAGGAATCTGGATCTGGTTGTGATCCCAAAGCAGTTGCATGTTGTGATAGTTACGGGATGTTTTCCTTTCTCTGAAATAAGAAGAAACGGAGAACTAGAAAACAATGGTTGCAGAAACTGAGTATGTCTAGTTTAATGAAAAGAAGGACTAGGGGTGACATGATAGCAGTGTTCCAATATTTGAGGGGTTCCCACAAAGAAGAGGGGGCCAACCTGTGCTCCAGGCCACCTGGAGGCAGGACAAGAAGCAATGGTTGGAAACTAAGGAGAGAAGCAACCTAAAACTAAGGAGAAATTTCCCGACAGAACAATTAACCAGTGGAATGACTTGCCTCCAGAAGTTGTGGGTACTCCAGCATTGGAGGGGTATTTAAGAAGAGATTGGACAAACTTTTGTCTGAAATGGTAGAGGATCTCCTGCTTAAGCAGGGGGTTGGACTAGAAGACCTCCAAGATCCCTTCCAACTCTGTTACTCTATTATTCTGTTTATTTTAAAGGGGGAAAACAGTTTTTTTTACATCAAGGCACTCCTCAAAAAAACAACAACACAAGTTTTAAATGTGGACATTTGCGTCTAGATTCAAATTTATCCTGGAAGTGGCCATCAGATATTGAAAAATTGGGGGTGAAACTCATTGCACTTTTGAATTTAAAACCCTTCCACCTAAATAGTGTAAATATTCATTGGCAAAACACTTTTTTAAAGCTTCCTATACACCACTTATGCATACATGGTTTAATTTGTCTTGGATGATTGCAGGTTTTAAGATAGTTATAGGTTTGATTCATGGACTCTGACCTTTGCTAATTGATGGCCAGACTAGAGTAGACATTAAGTCCAAGAATGAGTAATTGTCTGTCAGCATTTTCCTCCCTTGCTTTCTCCTTAGCATATTAACCAGATACTTGTCAATGACAAACTTGTATTAATAGGTCAGAGATATCTATTTAGCAGAGATCCCCAACACATTCCACGTTTCAGTGGTCCAAAATATTACGTTTGTAACACTGCCCGATAAGGCAGTATTCTAATAGAAGAGAATATACGTAACTCAAGGTTGAAGTGAGGGGTCCTTGGTGCTCTCTGAGCTTGGTTGTTTTCTTGCAGACATTTCATTACCCAACTAAGTAACGTCATCGGTGCTAGAAGGGAGTGGGGTTAGGGTTAGGGTAAAATTTATCTTATATTAAATAGCAATTCTTATTTTAAACATGCTGGGAAACCAGACCTGAAGGAGAAGGGAATAGAGAAAACTAAGGGATCTACTGGTCGCGAGATTAGTTTTTATTTACAGGTTGTTGAAGACTACCTCACATTCAGTCAGCCTTGCATGGCCAGTGGTGATGGAGGATGATGTTGTTGGGATCATCATAACCGGCCCATTTCCTTCCTACTGCTGTTTCTATACTGTGGGTAGTCCTCGACTTACAACAATTCATTTAGTGACCATTCAAAGTTACGACACCGAAAAAAGTGACTTACGACCATTTTTCACGGGTCCTGATTGTTAACGACTGTTGCACGGGTCCCGGTAATCCATGTGATCAAAATTCAGATGCTTGGCAAGTGGTTCATATTAATGACGGTTGCCGTGTCCCTGGGGTCATGTGATCCCCTTTTGTGGACCTTCTGAAATTAGTGGGAAAACCATATTCATTTAATAATTGTAACTTAGCTGCAGTGATTCACAACAACTGTGGCAAGAAAAGTTGTAAAATGGGGCAAAACTTTACTTAACAACTGTTTCACTTAGCAACAGGAATGTTGAGCTCAACTGTGGTGTAAGCTGAGGACTACCTGTACAGTTGAAATACTAAGCATAACCCTTGAGAAATTTGCAAATATATTCCTCATCTCGCCCGCATTTAAACTGGCCATTAAGACTCAGGAAAAGGGAAGGGGCTCCATTATCTGGTTTATATTGGGTGTTTTTGTAAGAAGGTTGTGGGTCTGCAGCTTGAGTATTACACAGGGATGGAGAGAACCTGTATAAGCTTTGACTAATAGAGCTTTTTTCATAGGATTGGGCTAAGCCTGGTCCTTATGACCAGCCCATGGTGAACACTTTGCAACGTCGCAAGGAAAAACGAGAAGCAGACTCTCCAGTGGGGGCTCAGAGTGGTCCGCCTCTGCCCACAGAAGACCCTCAGAGGGCCCGAAGCATGACTGTATCAGCTGCCCCAAAGGTGAAACTCTGCTTAACTCATGAGCTGATGTGTTGCTATGAAAAAGGTTCAAGGTACATCCTTGCTACTAAACCTCCCATGGTCTTTGGTTTTAGCTTGATGTGATATGCAAGCAAATCCTGGTTAATCTAAACAGCTTAGCACAATATGTGGGACATCTAGGTTCACAACCCCACTAATGGGTGATGTGGCTTGTTTGGTTTTTGGCTTACATTCTTTTGAAATCCAACAGTTTGATAAGCTCAGAGTTGGTCGATTGTCTGATTACGCAGATACAGACAATACTTGATGTTTTGTTAAGTGAGAAAATTGAAGTTTAGTTCACACATTATGCTAAGCTTGTTTAACTTGCTTTAGGGCAGGGATGTCCATACTGATTGGGGAATTCTGGGAATTACAGTCCACAAGTCTTAAAGTTGCCAAGGTTGGACATCCCTGTTTTAGGGAATAAAACATAATTGTTCAGATTATACAACGTGCTAGCCTGAATTTTATAAAACCTTTTCGCTTTAGGCCTCCGCTGCCGTGTGCAAAAAAAAAAAAAAAGGTTCAATCAATCAATCAATTTCAACTTCTCACGGGAAAAAAAAAGATTTCACAAAGTTGGAATTTATTGATTGAACTTTTTAGTCCCACCCAGTTTGCTGATACCACCGCAGCCACGCCCACCCAACGGACCACACCCACCCAATGGGCCACGCCCACCCGGCACCTGACAATACATAAGTGGGTTTTGGGTTGCAGTTTGGGCACTCGCTCTCTAAAAGGTTCGCCATCACTGTTCTAATCTAACAAGAGACCTTCATTGTGTTGATAGCAAGGAGAGGAGATGGAAGCCTGTGAAGAGCTGGCCCTCGCTCTTACTCGGGGGCTGCAGCTGGACATTCAGAGAAGCAGCAGGGATTCCTTGCAGTGTTCCAGCGGCTACAGTACTCAGACCACCACACCTTGCTGTTCCGAGGATACGATTCCCTCACAAGGTAAGAAATAAGAGCCGTCTGTCTCAAGTTTTGCAGTGCTTCTTGATTTTTGCTGGAGCAAGTCCCTCACCTTTCACGCAGCCGATAGATTGCTACACACTTCCTCAGTTACGTAAAGTGGCTCCTGGAAAGGGTATATTGTCAGCCGCCCTGAGTCCGCGAGGAGAAGGGCGGGATATAAATCGAAATATAAATAAATAAATAAATAAATAAATAAATATAGAAAGGGGAAAGTGAAGGGTTGGCCATTCACAAAAAATACTGAAGGGTCAAGAACCACTTGTGTCAGTCCGTTGAGGAAGACCAGAACTACAGGTAGTCCTCGACTTACAACAGTTTGCTTAGTGACTGTTCGAAGTTACAAGGGCACTGAAAAAAAAGCGACTTATGACCATTTTTTAAACCCTGATGACCGTTGCAGCCACCCCATGGTCACGTGATTTACACTCGGATGCTTGACAACTGATTGGCACGTATGACTGTTGCAGTGTCCCGGAGTCATGTGATCCCCTTTTGCAGCCTTCTGACGAGCAAAGTCAACGGAAAAACCAGATTCACTTAACAACCAGGTTACTAACTTAACAACTGCAGTGATTCACTTAACAAATGTGGCAAGAAAAGTCATAAGATGGGCTAAAACCCACTTAACAGATTTTCTCATGTAACAACGTACGTTTTGGGCTCAATTGTGGTCATACATTTTTGGACTACCTATATATTTAATGGAGATAGATTATCTTGCCAGTCTGCATTTCAGCAAAAGAGTTGTTAAGCAAAGCATGCGCAAGAGTGCTTTCTTCAACGACTGCAATCCCGGCACTCCTGGTTGGGGTCATTAAGCAGTCTCATGGATCGTTAAGCAGAGTGCCCGGTAAGGCATACAGGGTGTCTCAAGGGTGGGGGAGGCGCCACTGAAAATCCTCCCTGCTGATTCCAACCAGGATGCTCAGCCCGATCAGACAGTCCTGTGCAGCCTCCACTGCGTCTCCCCCACCCATTTGAGGCAGCCTACACTCCCTATTGTGCTGCCTCTCTGCTCTCTGCTTGGATTTTGGCTCCCTCTCATATAATAATAATAATAAAGTTGGAAGGGACTTGGAGGTCATCTAGTCCAACCCACCGCTCAGGCAGGAAACCCCATACCATTTCAGACAAATGGCTGTCCAGTCTCTTCTTAAAAACTTCCAGTGTTGGAGCATTCACCACTTCTGGAGGCAGGTTGTTCCACTGGTTAATTGTTTTAACTGTCAGGAAGTTTCTCCTTAGTTCTAGGTTGCTTCTCTCTTTGGTTAGTTTCCATCCGTTGCTTCTTGTCCTGCATTCAGGTGCTTTGGAGAATAGCTTGACTCCCTCTTCTTTGTGGCAGCCCCTGAGATATTGGAACACTGCTATCATGTCCCCCCTCGTCCTTCTCTTCATTAAACTAGAGATACCCAATTCCAGCAGCTTTCCTTATATGCTTTACCTGCCTACTGAAGGAAGGGAACTCCTGGGCATGAAAGGGTAAATTTGGTAGGGTGCAGATATGCAGCTGAAATCCTGAAGATTGGGCTGCCTGCCTTGTTATGATGTCTCTTTTCTGCATCCCACTGAAAGACTTCAGGTTCCCTCATCAGGAAATTCAGCCAGCCCCCAGAGAGGGAGCCCTCTCGGCAGGCAGCAACAGCTTGCAACCTTCCCTGCCAGCTTCCCTATTGACTTTGAGAAATATTGCAAATAGAAATCATATGATCGCAGGGAGCTTGGCAATTGGCTATAAGGGAATCATATGATCGCAGGGAGCTTGGCAATTGGTCGTAAGTACAATCGTGGCCATGAGGTGGGAACTGCAACGTCTTACAAGGACTGGAAATGCTTTTTTTTGTAAAAGCATTTGCAATTCCTTTCTAAGACTCTCATAATTCTGGACAGTCATTAAATAGTCACAGGTTGAGGCATTTCATTCTAGTTGGTGAATACGTAAAAACTAGAAAATTTTGCATTGAAATACATAACGCTAATTCAGAGGATTTTAAAGATTAATATACAATTGAGACCGGAGGTTTTTTAATTTGGTTTGATCGACAAACAGTGGGAAAAAGTCATGGAACTTTTTTTTTTTTTTTTTAAATGATCACTGTAGTGAGATTATTATATATACAAACAATGGAAAGATTCAGCATTATCACACAATGGAAGAAAGGATGATCGAACTTGCTGAAATAGCCAAAGTGACTTCTTTGATTACAGAAAATACAATATCTACATTTATTGCAGCCTGGAAACCCATAAAATTCCTTTGTGTATTTTTTGCGTAAAACAGGAAAAAAAAACTTAATGGTTTTGTTGATTAGGCAGAATAGATTATAGAAAGAAGAGAATCAACTTGTAACTTTAGAGTAAGAGGTAAATTTATAATTATAACTACCGTAAAAAAAAATCAGAAGCTACTTCATATCTTCTTTAGTATTTGTTTTACTTACTTCAGAGGTCCCCAAACTTTTGGGCACCAGGGACCGGTTACATGGAGAGAGGTTTTTCCGCGGACCGGAGGGTGCGTGGTTTTATGTGCTGCCTGCATCTCACGGATGGGTCTTTGCTTGTTTGTGAGGACCGGTTGCTGGCGTGCCGCAGCCCGGTACTGATCCACGGACCGGGGATTGGGGACCCCTGACTTACTTCCTTTCTTGCACTTTTATTTTTCTCTTTGATTTCTTTTCCTTCTTACTTTATATTAGTTATTATCTTCCTTTTTAAAACTTTTAATAAACATCATATCCAAGGGAAAAAAAGGAAAAGTGTAGATTGAATACGTTCACTGGATATTGCCAAGTTCCTTTTGAAGATTTACTGTTCTGACTCTCCTTTTTTGCCTTCCTAGTTTCAGATTACGACTACTTTTCTGTGAGCGGAGACCAAGACACTGAGCAGCAAGAATTCGACAAGTCTTCAACTATTCCAAGGAACAGCGACATTAGCCAGTCCTACCGTCGCATGTTCCATGCCAAGCGTCCCGCTTCCACTGCGGGCCTCCCGACCACCCTTGGCCCTGTGATCGTTACACCGGGCGTGGCCACCATCCGACGGACCCCTTCCACCAAACCAGCGGTAAGGCGTGGGACCATTGGTGCGGGACCAATTCCCATTAAGACCCCCGTGATTCCCGTTAAGACTCCATCTGTGCCAGACGTGCCGGCAGGGCTTCCCGGTTTCCCGAGTGGGGCAGAAGAAAGCTCTGAGCAAAGTCCCGAGGCTGGAGGGGGCAGCACCCCCACCGTATGTACCTCCTTGTGGAGTGGGCAAGCACCTGCCAGCTTTCCTGCCACCATTCAGAAGCCGAGCAGCACAGAGGATCAGAGACCGGCAGCTGCTGAAAACAAGGGAGAGGAGAATGCGAGAGAAGACGCCAGCATCACCGCTCCCCCGTGCCAGCCCGTGCCCCATTCGGGTGGGCAGAACCCAGCGGAGGCCCCACAGGGCGAAGACATGCTGAATGCTATCCGCAGGGGCGTTAAGCTGAGGAAGACCACCACGAACGATCGCTCAGCACCCCGTATTTCCTAGACGCTGAATCACTGCCCAAGTTGAGTGAAAAGAGAGGGACCTACTGATGACATCAACTTTTGTGTCTCGGTCCACTATTGTACAATCAAGATTTTTTTCTAGGAGAGACAGCTGGCGACGGTCTCTAAAATAGGAAGGGGAGGTTAGAATTGGCCAGGCGAAATGCTTAAAGGAACATCTTCCCGACTTATTATTTGTTTTCTTCTTCTTTGTAAAGCTGGCCGATTATATTTTCCCCTGCACATTCTCAAGGTCTCTTTTTTTCCTCCCCAAAGGTGCCAAAATCCCACTTACCCTTTTAATAACGCTTTGTATTCATTCACAAAAGGATGGCTATAAGAAACGTCAAGTAGTTAAATTTTAGCGAGGGCAGGGGGGGGGGTCCCCCGTGGCGATGCAGTTCTCCCTCTTGGACAGTTTTGTGGAGCACCTTGTCTATCATAGTCGGAGTCTCAAGAATTGTGTTCGTTTTCTTGTACAAAGTTCCTAGCAAGAACACAACTCCTCACTGAAATACAGTGAACTGTTCCCCTGCCGCAAAAGCAGGAAACGAAAGCCGATTAAAGCAATATATAATGGAAGAGAGAAAGAGAGAGAACGGCTTGTAATTTGGTTAATTTTTAGGGATTAGGACGGGAGGGGCTTAAATTTGTTGCACAAAATGTAGCCTAGCAGGTAGTTTCATTGTAAATGCGTCCAAATAAGCCATAAGGAATTCCAGTGTTCATTTAAGTAAGGTGTTTTGAAGATTTTTGGGTACTGCCTGCTAGGTATTTTTCCTATGTTGGCCCTATGAAAAGGACCATGTTAAGATTTCTTGCTTCTGTAAACCATGCGGTATGCTTTAATTTCCGGTCATCACGAAACCTCGTTATCAGTTTTGTACCATCTTGGCAACAGGCTTAAACTTTGCATTCCTCTCTTCACTTTGTGTTCCTTAAAAGAAATAAACAGAACACAACAAAAAGACACTGTGAAGGCAGAAGGGTGTCTACGTTGATACAAAAAAAATAAAAAATAAAGAGCAAAAAATTTAAAAGAAAACCAGGGAGCTCTTGATTATAACTTTATACCTTTTACTGGCTGTGCCCAGCAGGCTGGGTAGCCAAATAAGTGGAAAACCTTCCCCAGTACTTTTAACAAAAAACAACTCATAGATGGATGGGCAACTAACTGGGAACTCCAGTAAAACTGCAAATGTTACTTTTAAGGGGGGCTGTTTTTCCGAAAGAGCAGTTTGGGTTGGTTTTTCCTAAACACAAAATTTGGGGATTGGGAAGGGACCGGAACATCTTTAGGTTTTATTTATTACAGTGGGAGGGGCATTCACAACTGGTTTCCTTTTTATTCTTTTTTTCCCCCACAGTAATTGGGGAGGGGGGAGCACTGTTGATAAATTTATAATAAGATTTTTTTTCTTAACATGGACATTGCCGTGGTATTTTCCGTTTCATGGGATCAGTAGAAATGTGCATAACTCAGGCACCCCCCTCCCGGTGTTTTAAGTTTTGTGGTTTTCTGTTTTTTAAAAGCATTCTGCAGTCTAACTGGATACCGTCTGCCTTATTTCTACATGGGCAATGCTAGCAGAATTCTTGACTTCAAGAGGGGTGTGTTTGTGGTTGCAGCGATGCGCCACTCATCGCGGAAGGAGCTGGGTTGTGAGTGTGCACACACAATCTACTCTGCCATGGACACTCGGGAGATTCGTATTGGCTGCCATCTTGCCTACGTAAACTTCTTATGCTTTAAATACATAACTGCATTGGATGTGAGATGTATCGTAATCCTGTTTATAGTCACTGTGTTCTATATACATTTACACAGCTGTGGTTGCTTAACACTTTTTCATTAGGGCGTCGGAAGCGAAAAGTTAAAAAAAAAAAAGGCATGATCCAAAATAATAAGCTTTTTCTTCCTTCAGAAAAAATAAAATAAAAATAAAACAGTGCTGTCAAACTAGCCCACTTGTCCTGAAAACGAGTAGATGCTCTCTGCGAATGATACTCCGAGATTTCATTTTTCTTATCCGCTTGAAAGAGGGAAGAAAAATGGACAAAAAGGGTGCAGGCTGACAAGCTGATTTTTCTAAGCTTTTTTCTCCTTTTTTTAAAAAGGTGTTTCTGTTTAGGGGCTCAGGCATGCCCTTGCATTAACCCCCTGTTGCTTTCCGTGAAGCTCACGCGGGGGATACTTCTTCTTTTGAAAAAGCACGTTTAGAAAACATTTTGGATGAAGCTGTATTTGAAAGTGCAGCCTCCTTCCTTTCAATACCAGAATTAAATCTCAGTTAAAATAATAATAATAGTAATAATAATATTGCCAAAATTCAATGTTAAACCCGTGGCAAACCACTTTGAATAGTTCTGTTGGTTTGTTTTTTGAGGTTTCTTTTCCTTTTATCTTTTTTGTGTTCCTTGCCTATTGTAACAGCAGCGTCACAATGTAAAATGTTTCTAATGGTAAGTTCTTGTGGTTTAGTTGCTAGTTTGTACCGAGAGTTGACCTCTCTTTCCCCATGCAGTGTTTTCGTTCCGAACTGCTAAAAATAAAAATAGCTGTTAACTGTGCTTCCCCTTCTACCTTGTAATGAATGCTTCAAGCCTATATTACAAATAAAGACCTGCTGATAAACCTGCTTCTGGAGTGGTTTGTGTCTTTTGTGTAATCCAAGAAATCGTGCAGGATCTTTTTGGTCCCCTTTAACTATCGGTGTGCCAGGCAATCTTCTCCATGTTATGCCCTCCAAATGTTCTGTAGTTTCTGATCCTATACATTTAGGGCAGGGGTTGGCAACCTTGGCTCCTTTATGACTCGTGGACTTCAACTCCCAGAATTCCTGAGCCAGCACGGCTCAGCATGGAAACCTCTCTCTTTCCCCTCAGCATGGCTGGCTCAGGAATTCTGGGAGTTGAAGTCCACGAGTCATAAAAGAGCCAAGGTTGCCTACCTCTGGCCTAGGCCTAGGCCGCTTTATGACTCGTGGACTTCAACTGCCGCCGCAGCACTGGACCGAGTCGTGCCTTTGCGGCCTCTGACCCGACGTAGATCTCGATTGGCTCCCTGGTTTACCGAGGAGCTGAGAGAGATGAAGCGTCGGAAAAGAAGCCTAGAGAGCAGTTGGAGGGCCAGCCGAACCGAACCCAACCGAACACAGGTTAGGATACATATTAGATCCTACCTAGTGGC